CATAGATCTTCTTCATCCTCACCATTAATTATTTTTCTATATTTCTTATTAACAACTTTAAAATTTGTGCTTGAGATTCAGCCTCTGGGGGTCAGAAATATTTTTCAAATACAAATTTTAGTCGCTTATAATAATACAAATTGTCATGTATACTTTCGTGGTATCGTCCACCTGCCGTAAAAGGATCAGCTACTCAAAGCGAGAGTAGCTATTCATTAAAATGCATGTACTGCAGGATTTGATTCTAAAACATCATCTTCAGCGAGCCTTTAATTCTTCAAATGTGCCCTTGAAGAATCACAACATCTGTGGCAGCCATGAAAAAAATATGAGTGGCCAGGAGCATTATCATTTCATGCTGAATGGCCCGGAAACATCTGATTGACAGACAACCTCCAGTGGTGTGAGGTTGGACCTGCGGGAGGGAAAGGTGGCGGGGCAGCACTTTATATGTACATGCAGCTCATCTGAGGCTACTGAAATATCACATGGCAGGGTCTGCTGAGCAGACTGAGGCAGGTCACAGCTTAAAAGCTTCATGTGAGAACTGTTCACCTCTCTGACCGCATAATTATTCCTCATTACCGCTGAGCAATGCTCACCTGCGCTTTGTATAGATATCACTGGAAAACCTGTGACATCGTGCTGTTGTATAACATGTGCATCTGCAAATTCTTAACAAGCCCTTCAGAATCAGCTGTCCCTACTCTTGTAGGGTGGCTTTAATACTATTTGGTTAATTTTATGGAATTGTTCCAATAAAAGTGCCTATCATTCATATAATCCATAAATAAAACCTAATGAGGCATGGTATGATCAGCTCAAAATACAAGACAGAAACTAAAATCGTTGAGGTTTTTAGAAACCCCTTAAACTGTGGAGAGGAATAATTACAATGGCTTATATACATATTTCCATTCATTTTAGATGATCCATTGAAAAGGCATGTTTACTAATGTGCATGTGAAGGTCACATGGTCAGCTCCTCTATAACCTGCAGAGTCAGTTGAACAGCCTGCAGACTAAAACACTGAAGACATAAAGTAATAACAAAAACGACCACCTGGGCTCACACGGACTTATTGTTCTTTGGTCAATGCTGGAAATTCAGAAATTTGCAAGTTGAAATTAACGCGCAGCGACAAGTCGCAGAGCTTTACATTGTTTGTTTTATAATGTTTGAAGCACAAATGAGAACACACTCATTTGTCTCTCTGTCTCACACACACACACACACACACACACACACACACACACACACACACACACACACACACACACACCTGATTGATTGACATGCCTCAATCAGGCAACAAAAGTAAAAGATAATCATGATTTGAATTGAAAAAGTAATGCAAATCTGTAACCAAACTATATAGAAAACTCACAGTTTTCAGTTGATTGAGATATTATTCACCATTGTTCTATGACAGATCAGGACTCGCAGCAACACGAGTGATGTCAGGAGCTGGAAACCATATTTGGCCACAGTAACACAAGGACAGATTCTCCTTGTGTGAGGGTGAGATATAACTATAACTGCTGGACTGTAGATCTGCCCCCAAACCAAGATCTGTTAGATTTGAATGCTGTTTTATTGACATGCAATCATGGAAAGCTTCTTTTATTTGTAACGACACCAAATCCTGAACAGAATAAAAAGAAAAATACAACTGACAGATGAGAATCATTGCAGGAAAAGCATTACAATCAGTCTCAAAGAAAATAAGTTAAATAGCTTAATAGCATGTCCTCACTCATCATCCACACAACCTGCAGGCTGCAACCTTATATTTTAGACTGCAACTTTACTGTTGGCTTTGCAAAACGTTAATTAAAAAAATGTTGATATGCTGTGTATCCTAAAATATGACAAAATCTCTGACGCAGAGACGCCTGACCTGCGACCCGCTGTCTCCCCTGTCCACTCGTCTTCTCTGTATTATCCACTGTATCAGCAACACACCAGGACAGTAACTGTCGCTGTCGTGATTATGCATCAGCTGCTGTGGGCTGTCATTGGTTACGCAATCGCTCTCCAGCGGTGCTCAATGTTCTAGCAGCCACAAGCTGCATGCTCTCTTAATTCCCTGCATGGCGAGAAGAGGCCATCAAACACACAGGGCTTTTGACGAATCATTAAGTAGTTTTTCCCTTTGAGATTTTTAAGTAGAGGACTAAAATGGACTTAATTCTTGAGACCGAAAAAAAAACCTACCTGGGGATTACCCATTTGTTATTCACTTTTCTTTCACATTGAGCCCACTCAATGTTAATGTAAAGACCTCAGAAGTGTGGTTATAGTTAGGGAACATATAAGGAGGAGAGTAGGGTCATTTTCTTTGCTGAAGTGAGGATTTGACTGTTCTGGGAAAGCATTTCAAAGTATTTTATATCTTTTATTCCCCATTTTCATACTTTATTTCATTTTTCCCTTGGGAGATTTTATTTAAAAAAAATGTTGCAAAATCCTTACACATAAATGATGTCTTTTATGTCTGCTAGTTCTGCACATTTTCAATCCATGGGTGATTTAAAATCACACATTATATGGTCCTTAACTGAACTGCAAACAAGACACTTAAAGGTAATATATATCATCTTGCACATAAACACATTCTCTTATGAATAAAACAAGAGCTTACCAACAGCACTGATCTCTGCTTTCAAACATAAAGTGTGGCTGGAATATTTTGTGAAGATGTTCATGTTCCACATAGTGAAAATGAATGTTCCGTTAAGATGTGAAATGTTAAAATTGGGTACATCATTTAAGTGCTTCTAAAGCTTTCAAAATGTCATTGTTGATTCATATACATTTCCCTCCTAAATAAACAGCACGATTAGAAGCAATCTCTTTGCCAATGTCTTGTTTTGAGGGATGAGTGTGATTCTAGAAATTGATATGAGAAGTGCTTTATTTGCTACTGCTATTTTGTTATTATAGGACGCTTCATCAGGGCTATTTTGAGATCTTCCCACAGTTGCCACTGACTGAAATCTTTGCTAAAGTGCCTGAGACGCTGACTGTCCATTATTTCTGCGTATGGGTTATTAATGGAGCCTTTTATTATATCAACACTCTACTCTCTACGTGGTTTTGTTGTTTGAGAAATATTGGTTGGGTAAGATAATTGTGATTGTGAGTACAAAAACAAGATGATCATCAATAGTGTTAATACCATCATTAATCAATCAACAATACATTGTGCAGAATGTCCCTTTGCTTTTTGTGTATGGATTTCACAACAATCACTTCAGCTCATATCTCATATCTGATTATCTCACCGTCGAGGAGCTTCGCGACATTACCAGGGTGTGCGCGGGGGTACGGAGAGCCTGGCAAGTTTTCCTGCAGATCTTCTTGGAGGACACCTAATCACAAGTGACACAGGAGCAGCGCTGCAGATTTGATGTTAATCCATGCTGAAGTCAAAAACATTTCCAAGGCCCTCAGCGGCTCTTTCTAGATAAAAGGGCACAATTGAAATTGTGCCATGACGGCTGCGATGTGATACCTATTTCAATAATTTACGCACACCTGAGAGTAAGGAGTCAGAAACCTGGACTATATGCTTCAAAGTAAATTAATGTCAAGCTTTGAGATCCGCCACAACACACAGCAGCTTGTATGTGTTGCTCGACTTGCATTGAATATAAACTGGTTCTCTTTCAATATGCATGTTACAATGTAAGGTGTTGATACGTCCTGAGGATGCACACCTTTGCTTCTTAAATATGCACACACAGTATAATAATGAGACATGTGTGCATGGGTGTTAGAAAAAAAAGAATGAAACACAAACCTTTTTGGCTGTCAAAGCAGAGTTGAGCCTACAGGCTTGACATAATATGATAGAGTCTTCCTGAAGCTCCGACTACTCATGATGGTGTTGCTTTTTCAGTTTGAACTCAATGCACTGCGACGTCGGGGAAAGAAAAAGTCTCTGAAGGAATAGGTAGGAACAACATTATATTACAGCAAGATGTAAATAAAATATGGAGTAGAAAGATATTCAATGATGCAAATCGATGATGTAAACGATAGTGAACAACTTCAATTCTTTAAAGTCTTCCTCAACAGCTTCAATCCTGAATGGAAATACTGAATGTTTGAAGGGCTGTTAGGCCTCTGAACTCTACTTTACTCTGCAGATTGTGTTACTGCAGAACGTGCAGGTTTTGTGATGCCTGACGGCTGTGATGCTCTCTTTTGATTGTCCCTCTGCAGGGACTCTATCAAATCAACCTGGCAAACCTTCACATTAGTGCTTCTGATGAGAAACAGACCCTCTGATGATCCAACACCAGATGAGCAAAGGTTTCACATGAAGACCTGGACGTGTATTTTTCCACAGCTTTTTCTTCACCGGGTTTGGTCTGCCGAGACAAAGGATGTCTCACATGGCAGAATATTTACAGACAGAAAAACACTGTTTATCGTATAAATAAAAGACTATTGAATGAGGAGAACAGAGAGCAGCAGCACGCGCACACCTTTCACCGTTTAACTGGTTGTTCCCTGGTGTGTAGCTACACACGTTTAGTCTTTGAAAAAATTGTTAATAATTTGCATTCATATTTCAAGACATTCCAGGACTGCCTCACTGACAATTTATGGAGATGTTGCAGAGAGTCAGAATATTACTATATTAAGACCAGTGCTAAAATATGCATTACTAGAAGAAATGATATGCATCCAGGCCTTTAGTTTCAGGTTTTGGCCTTTGACCCATTTAAACAAAGCCTTGTCACCGGTGGTCATCCAGTTATTCACAAAAGACAAATAAAATAGGAAAACTGCAGAAACTAAATTTTAAGTGGAGCAGAAATACGTTTTTTTCTGCTTTCCTAATCTATTTTATCATCTGTTGTTTCGCGACTCCCAAAGGTTGGGACTAACTTTCACCTTTGTTTGTTTTTTAAGGTAAATCAAAGTGATTTTAAATGATCTTCTGGCTCAGGGAAAGTGACACGAATAATCTAAACACAAATTGTATCATGCATTTTCTGGACCAACTTCAGAAAATGCAACTCCTTCTAAATGAAATGATCTTCCGTGTAATGGTAGCTGCTTCATGTTGGTCACAGACTGGAGATCATCGGTCTCACAGCTTTGCAGTTCCTCTGCAGCACATCAGCGATTGCGGTGAAATCAGTAACATGGCTCCTGGTCTGATTCTGCATGATGTCGCTAGTGTTCCCGTTTGTTCTCGTATGAGCTGACGGCATCAACTGATCAGAGGAACATCTCGCCAAGTGCCAATAGCCTGTTTGGCCACAAAGCTGGGTTCATGTCTGAAGCCATGCAAGCAGAATAATTACAGAGGAGATGGGAGGTGGTGGTGGTGGGGGGAGGAGGAGTCGTGCCTGCAGAGCCGGAGGTCACAGTTATGTAACACCACTAATGTCAGACCATCACATAAGACTCTCTCCAGCATCCCTGTTGCTGGATGCCATTTTCACTTTACATTCGTTAAAATAATGACAGTACAGACGATCTGAAACGTGGAAGCCAGATGCCTCAAACCAACGTGTAAAATGAAGATGGAACAAGGTCAGTCTGTTCTGACTTCTTTTTATTTTTTAAAGTGTGTCATTAAATCCTATCTATCATCTGTGTAGCACTTATTTCTGATTGATTTGTACAGCACATATAAAGCATCTGCGTGTGGATTCCTCCTGTGACTGCTCTCACATTTCACAAATAGCACAACAATAGCAAGAAACCAGAGTTAAATAGAAGAGAAAGATCCATTGTGACAAACATCCCAAGATTTTATCTGGTGACAGGGAGAGAAAAGCTCCAGGTGTTACCTGGAGAAAATGAAAGAAGTTCTTCTCTAATCTTATTGACAAACAAACAGAAATATCCCTTCTATTGTTCAAATTGTCATTATATATTTCAGTCGCAATGGATTTGGTTGATTAACTACTTTATTAAGGGCACATGATGTCAGCAGACAGTTAAATGGGAATGCTGAACAGTAAAGCCAACCCTTCTATCACAACTAAACAATGTAGAGTAAAGCGCTCATGTCAATTAAAGGAATAGTTCAGAATTTGGGGAAATATGTGTATTTGCTTTTTTGCTTGGAGTTAGATGAGACGACTGATTCCACTCTCACGCCTCTACTGTCAATATGAAGCTACGGCAACCAGACGGTAGGTATGGAATTTCATCAAGCTGCTGTTGCAAAGGTCAAGGGTGAATCTTCAAACTAAATAAACAAATACAAATATAAAATGTAAATCAGGAACTGGTTTATGCTCCGAGGAAGACCTGTGGCCGAAACATGTTGACAGTGATTTTTCAATAAGATGAAGCTCTAATGGCGTTGACAGCTTTGATAGTGAGTCTCTCTTTTCCTCTTTACGAACTAGTTCACGCAACATCTCAAAAATGCGGTAATGTTTGTGTGACACAGAATAATTGCAAGAAAGAAAGTAGAACAAAGAGTAAAAAGCACTTAAAAACGTTCCTGCCAATGAGAAATGATAAAATGTAAGAAGGACACAGATAAAAAAATAATTCCCATTCTACAGATTGGGCCTGGGACTGTGGCGTTTATGTTTGACATCTTGTTGATTTTTTTTCCAAGAGTGGCAACAATTAGTGTGCGATTTACAGAAAGTGTTTCTTTGCTGTCAATCTCAACAAAGCAAATAGCGATGGTAAAACGTGTTTTTGACATATCGGTTGGTAATGCCCTGTCAGGATCCCTGTCAGACCAGACACCTCCCATGGCCACACAGCTGCAGCCACTCCAGCCGATTACCTCCTGCAGGCTGACACACCAGACTCAGGTCCCACTAACGCTTTCCCTGGCACTATATAAACTCTGGTCCTGCAGTCTGGGGTTGTCAGGTCGTACCGTCTTTCACCCGCTTCAACCCCATTGCATCTTCTGCCTCCGTCGGTCCGGGAATCCCCCGTGCCCTCCGTGGTGTTAACGGACTACTCACCGCCGCTCCGCCCTCCGTGGTGTTAACGGACTACACACCGCCGCTCCGCCCTCCGTTGTGTTAACGGACTCACACCGCCGCTCTGCCCTCCGTTGTGTTAGCGGACTACACACCGCCGCTCTGCCCTCTGTTGTGTTAGCAGACTACACACGCCGTCAAGCTGCCAGCCCTCCGGTGTCGAGCCACGGGACTCACACCGTCGATCTGCCTACTCTCTGGTGTCGGACCACGGGCTCCACACCTTCACACACCTTCAAAATAAAACCTGTTTATATCAACTTCTGTCTCCTGTGGTCTTGCTATTGGGTCCTAACCGTGAACTCCCGTGACATGCCCACCATCTTACTTTTTTCAGGAGAGATGGTTTTCAGTACATAGAAAGACATTTCCTCTCTATACGTGATTAACAACAGGGAGTGGAGCAGGCCATTAGTGGCATCCCCCTCGTGAGATAAAGGTCCTGGCAGTATTTTCAGTTTCCTGTGAAAAATGATTTGGCTTAATGTAATGCAATGGGATTGAGGCGCGTGAGGAACTGAATAGTGGACATTCAGAGGTCGAGGCTCTGGAAAGATTAGAAACCCATCATCCACTAAACAAACACCGCCATCCTCTCCACTTTCATTTATTAATTCATATGAATGTGGCATCAAATGGTTTAATATAAGCATGACTTCAGATAGAAAATGTCTTCAGTATATTTTGTAATGCTTGGCTGACCAAGCATGAGGTACTGCGGCCTGTCAGATGTCGTTTGTGTCCTCAAACTCATAGATCCATGCTATTTTCTGTAGTTTGCTCATATTACACAGCTCCAAAGACGTGCTCATCAGTGTCTTTTAAAGAAGACTGAGGATGACAGATTGAATTAACAAAACCATCAAAAACATGCATCATGATGTTCTCAGTATTGTTTTGGGGAATTAGGTAAAGAAGGAGAAGCTTCCATTGAAGTGCACAAGAAATACCCGTTGAGAGATGTTATAACTGTTTCTTTATATATTTGTAATCAATGTTTGTCCACTAGAATGTTATGATGATTATCATGGTTATTTGGGGGCTATCAAAAAGGAGGTGTGGCTGCACTGGGGGACTTTGAACTCTTAACCGTAGTATTTCCAAAATCTTGAGTACAGTCCTGCTTATGATGCCCCATAAAAGAAAAATGCCATACCGCAAAGTGCCGCCACATGATAACATACCCTTTCTTTGCAACTTCCTGATATTTAAAAATGAACGTTAACACTGACTGGTCTTTAAAAGGTGGGGCATTATTTTAGCAAGATATGTACAGTATTTGGATGTGGTATCATGACATTTAAATCCCCCAAAGTCTAAGCTCCTCAATCTGAAAAGATTTTTCTAATTCTTCATACTTCTTTTTATTCAATACATTGTGTTGCCAAACTGCACTCAGATTCAGGTTTGGATCATCCAGGAGTGTCTTTTTAGTCCTACTGTATGTTCACGCTTTGGGTAAGAATTTGTGCAGAACAAAATATGTAACAAAAAATATTATTAGACTTGACGGAAGAAACTGGGATAAACAATTGCTGTTCATCTGCATAATACTGGTAATTGAAAACCTGATGCATGATATTGCTGGCGAGATGGAGAATACACTGTAGGCCTATAAAGGAAATGGAATTGGGCCAGACATGTTTCCCTGAGGAACTCCATCATCCAAAATAAGAGAGTGCAAAACATAATCCCAGAATTTTGGTCCTGCAAGACATGAACAAACCTAATCTCAGGTCATTGATTACCGTACATGTCAAACATCTATATTGTGGTTAATTGTTAAGTTTGTTACGCCTTCTTATACTATGTGTGCTGGTGTCGTATTAAATCTGAACGACAGATGATGTAAAGATAAAGATGAGCTGTGGAGCATGTCAGGCCTTATGTCAGGGCTCGCTTGGTGAAGGATGAAAGGTAAGGACATCGAGATCTCAGCTGATCGCTTCTCCTTGTAAGTGGAGTGGAAGAGTTCATGGTTTGCAGCTATAGAGGTGAGCATGTGACAGTTATATAATACATATCATAACAGGGGTGAGTAAACTTAGAGTCACCTCGTCCTAACTTTGGTTATGTAATGTGGCAGCAAAGCCTCGCTGAAAAGTTAGTCATGATAAAAGCAGCGATGGGTGAGTTTTGCTGCAACAGTGTCCGAACAGACCATAGCCACATGGTAGGTGCGTGTGTGTGTTTTACTTCATTTAACAAGATGGATTTCCCTAAAATGTTTATGTTTCAGTTATACCACATGTTTTATAAATTAAAAAGCAGCTTCCTGAGCATAAAACCAATCTTGAGTGAAAACAGGAAGTAGAAACAGAAGCAGAAACATGTCCGGCAAAAACAAATAAGGCACAAGATCAGCGAAAAACAATAATATTCAAAATGATGACTCCTTCGACATAAACAGGACCAACAATGTTTTCTGAAACATCTGACTGTTTTTATAAAGTAATTCTGCATGTTTACTCTGTAGCATGAAATGAAAACAATATTCTTTATTTTGGTTTGTTAAAAGTTGTTTTCTCCTGTTGAGTTCCACAAAGGTCAGATTTTCAGCCGAATGAATGCTGGATCTGTATCGTTAGCATCTCTGTTTGTCCAGTACTCATTCCCTGATGGTACAAAGGGCTGAGACGGCCCAGTTCACCTGCAATATGTACAGCATTGAACGTTGAATGTATATAGAATGACATAGGCTACACTGTAAACGGCTGTCTTTAATACTGTCTGCTGCAGAAACTGAGCACAACTGAGTCCCACCCACAGCGGAGGGGAAAACCATTCAGCGCTCTTCATTGACTTTGTGGTGAAGGTGCCTCCTTGTCTCTTTAGTCTGCTAGAAAACCACAGAAAAATGGCTAAAAGCTGCTATGTGGTGAGATGCAGGGTAAAGAACCCAGAACTGAGTTTTGATAAGCTGAAGAACTGAGGATGAAGGCAATAAGACGTGAGCTTATACATCAGCAGGAAGAAAGGTAAAACTGTGATCCTAACACTTGTTACGTGTGCAACAAGCATTTAGCCAAATGTCATTATTTTGGTGTCCCCTGAATTTCTATATTGTTTTCAGTAGGCATTGACTCTATTTCAGCACTCATTGCAGTAGATTTCTCAACAACGTAAATGATTAACAGCCATATTCAACACACCTTTAGTAAGCCTTGATGAGGAGTTAATGCCGATGATTTCATTCTAACGATGGGCAAAATTAAAAAATAATAACAAGATAACAGTTATTGGATCAGTTGACACTCAAATGAATAAACCGTTGTTTTAATTTAAATAATATTTTATTATGACTGAACAAAAAAACACATGGTAAATGTATAGCCACACAAAGAGCCGACTGTTCAAGTAGAAAAAGAAAAGCTGAAAATGTGACTGAAATGAATGTGATAGGACTAAAATATTGAGAAATTGTAAAGTAAAACTACAAAAAAAGACAGAAATAATAATCATGATTATGCAAGAAAAGACAGAACTTAACACTGCATAAAGACCTCATTTGGCTGAATCAAGTTTGTTTAGGTGGGCTGGAGCAAAGACCCCCCCTAAGTGCATGAGGTGCAAACTTTTATAAGTGAGGTTAGCTATTATTCTCAATCATTAATAACACAGAGCATCGAGTCAAACATTGCAGACCGACAACACAAGAAAGAATGAATTAGGGCGTATCATTCTCATAACAAAACATAATGTGATTCCATTAAATAAAAAAATAAAGTAGTGCGCTGAATGCCCATAAGCATATACAACTGTCTTCTAAGGTGCAGCAGTGAATAACATATGACTCTCGACTTTGCACAAAGTGAGCTTAGTTAAACTATCAGCTAAGTTAAACTATCAGCTAAATTAAACTATCAGAAAATAGTTGTGCTATATGAAAACACATGACGAGCAACAAGTACATAAAATAGTTTGATGTGCAGGAAGAAACTATGAAAAAACAATTCATAGTGATGAGGTCTGAAAGGGATCGGGACATTGTCACAGGTTTGATTCCCACAACAGCTACAAGTGTCCAAACCTTCAGCAAGACATTTAAGCCAAAGGTGCTCGATCACCCTCCATCAAAGCTGTCATTTAAATGAGTTTTCTCATGGAGGGAAAGAAGATGAAACAGACAAGAAAGTTTGGTTTGAACCTGAATTTCAGTTACAGACACACAGGAGAAGACACTGAGAATATTTTTGAAATCTTTCACTAAAAAAATATGCTTTTCCTCACTAACACCTACAGAACTAGTGAAGTGTCCAAACATACACATTATTTAATTTCACTGCAGTGAGTATTTTACTTACAACCAAAGACTCCTTTTGGAAAAAATGTATTTAAGATTATTCAATAAAATATTTCTTCATTTCGGGACATAATGCACAATCCCTCTTAAAAACATGTCTCACAGTGTAATTTGTCCTTTTTCACATCAGAACATGAAATTATATCTTATGAACAAAGAAAGTACTGAATTCAATATCATGATAGTTAATATTAGAATTCAGAGGTGCAGAGAGAGCTGCACGTGTTTTTTTCGCCTGTCTTCTAACAGCAACAGCTCCAGAGTTTGTGTAATGAATGCATCTTAAACAAGCATAAGCATTATTTCTCAGTGACATCAGTAACGATGTTAGTCCTAAATGGTTTGCGCTTAGCTTATGGAGGTTAAAAACATGGAGTCTGGATGCTGCAGCACCAGGCTCTTCAGTGCCAGAAAGAAGCAAACATCTCTTTAGGACTGAAGTTTAGTCCTCCTGATGTCCGCAGCTCATTTATTACCACAGTAGAAGGGCCCCTTAGTGGGACTTGACCTTAAAGCGTGAAATCCTCTGGGTTTAGATGGAGCTTCGGCGTTTATTGAGTCTTCTGTAGTTGTTGATGCTGTGTAGACCAGTGGAAACTGAGCTGATGCCCGAGTTGCACACGCAGCCGTTAGAGTGCAGGGGGTTGGAAAAAGCCTCCCCCTGCTCCATGTAGGTGTCCGAGCTGGAGAGGTCACGTGGGATGATCATGGGTATGGAGTATTGCAGCTTCTCTCTACTCTTGTACCAAAGGCAGGAGCACATAGATTGGAAGTGGAGCACTTCAGCGTAAACGTTACGTAGACCCCGGCTTGCCGCTCCTCCCCCGTTACCTCCAACTCCATTTCCTCCGCCACACCCAGATGGCGTGGAGGAGGAGGAGGCCTGGTTTGCGGAACAGTGGATGTGTCCACCTGCCTGACCGTTGTGAGCGAGAAGAGCCCTCTGCTCGGCATCCCTCTTCTCGTCCTCGGCGTTCATGGTCATGAACCGCAGAACTGCTAAGTTGAGGAAGGCTCCGATCACAGCCAGGCCCGTCAGGATGTAGATGAAGCTGAAGGCCACGTACTCCGGCTTGTTCTGCAGAGCTTGCTTACTCTGCAGCGCTACATAGTCCCCGAAGCCGATGGTGGTGAGCGTGATGAAGCAGTAGTAGTAAGCATGAAAGAAGGTCCAGTCCTCAAAGTATGAGAAGGCCAGTGCCCCCACGCACAGCGTGCTCATGCAGGATATGAAGCCGAAGATCACCATGTTGACCATGGAGACCTCAGTGTGTCTCATGCCAATGCACTTCTTCAGGCGGTGGAGCAGGTACCTGACGAAGGTGTTGATACGCTCACCTACGCTCTGGAACATGACCAAGGTGAGAGGGATGCCCAGGAGGGCGTAAAGCATGCAGAACGCCTTCCCTCCATATGTGCTGGGGGCTGCATGGCCATATCCTGGGGGAGAGAAGAAGAAAGGAGCAGGGTTACTAGGGCAGAACTAATAAAATCTGCAGAGCAGCAGACAGGGGTCTGAGAAAAGAAGGCTGGAGGCTTGGAAAGTCAAACCCTGAGTAGACAGATACAAACGATTTGTATTCTTTGAGCAGCACATCTCATAAATTCAAAGACTCTTAATTTCACAGACGCAGGATGCAATTGAAGATGAGAATGAACAGCAGCGTGGCGGGAATGAACAAGTATTGATGTCTTGTATGGGAGAGAGGGCCTGAATAATTCATTGACAATTGGTCTCTGCAGAGTGACTTCAGCTAATGAGTACATTTGCACCTAATTAGGACTACCTTTTTCTGGATCAAACAAACAGGACACTACAGGATACATTGCAAATATTGGACCTTATTTAGTTTATTTAGTAAAATCACTCTTTGTCCTGCAGTTTTTTGAATCTTTGGATTATAACGGCCCTGTGGCAGAATAGAATGAGTCAGCAGCGTGGTCTGTGTGCGCTCCACTGAGTCTTCAGCCCAAAAAAATGACATACAAATTCTGAGTTAGTTAAGCAGCTTAATGCAGAACATGCCAAAGTTTGAAGGAGCTTTTCAAAAATGTATTTCCCACTAAACCGTGACTGACTAATAAACCATTTACTATATAGATCTATTGTGTCGTCAGTGACTGAAATGGCTGGGTGGAGAATACTGTCGACTGCTCACCACCAGCCAATTTCAGACACGGGATGACTCACACTGACTGAGTGATTCTGTATGCACTCAAACTGTAGAGCTCATGAATTTCAGTATGGATTTGTGCTTCCTTCCGGCACATTTCAGGTTAAGCGTCAACCTTTTGTCTTATGACGTCATCCTCTCACTTCTATATACGGCACCCTTGCATGCAACATCATTACCGGCTGAGATATAGTCCCCACATGGGGACCTGTTGCACACAGGAGCCGACAGATGATGTCCCTGATAACAATGGGATCAGCAAATGGAAAAGGTTGACCAATAGTTTGAATGTAATTACTCCAGGGGTTGATTTAATTCTTTGGGCTCTGGTTTTATTGTCACACTGATCCGTGCGGTTGAGCCATCTGTCTGTCTGGTGCCAAATCTGTTTAAAGGGCTCCCAGTTGGGCCGCCAAAATGAGAGCCATTACAACTGATGTATCTCCTTCTGGAAGGAAAAACCTGACACGCGCAAAAAGACATTTTGCTTCTTTGAAGCATTGCTTATTTTTAATCTCACAAAGACACTCATCCCATTTTCTGATCACCGAGAGATGACTGATGAGAACTGGTTGGTAGCAGATTTATTAAAACCATTTTACCAAGGAGACTGATTCTCTGATGACCGTAGACAACTGCACATTTCAACCATTTATCCATTAGTTAAGGTTTCTATTTCAATCGATTAATGAAAATAATTTACTTTTAGCTTAGATCAACCATTAAGATAGTCATATCAAATGTTTGGTCAATACTTTTAGCAATTTATCCGTTACTTCTATTCGCTTCAACCATTTTGGATTACTTTTACTAACCATTAACCAATTATCTAGCTAACAATTTCAAGTTGTTATTCAATACTTTTATCTATTTCAAGCATTTATCATTTGCTAACTGTCAACCATCTTAGCTGCATCCATTCATTTGTTACTTTTTGCGAGCGGACCATTTATGCATTACATATAATTACCCCAACGGGTAATTGCTTTCTTCTAAATACTTATTGGTAGCATTCATTTTACCTTAATGTAAATAACATTCATCCATTACTTCAAGCTTACCGTTTCAACATCTCTTCTCACTTGCTTACTAATTTCCATAATTTAAAGTTGACCTACTCCACAATATTTCAACTACCCCTATGCTGCAACTGCAGAAGCATTTCCTCCAGGGCTACAAGTACCCGTAGGTGTGAATCACTGCTGTATAATATGTTCAATTCTTCAACCACCATAACAGCAACAACATACAAGAAGTTCCTTTGGCCTGTGTTATAAGTGACTTGTGGATTACTTTTTCTCCAGTGGATACTGCTCATCAGAAATGCATTATTCGATACGGTAGGTCTGCTCTCCAACATTACAGCACAGGTCTGTGAATATCTATGAGTTATATTGATCCATCATGAATATATATTAAAATCATAACCCTCTGAGGAAAATTTGCATTATTACTTCTATTTGAGAGGGTAAAATGCTCCCCTCAAGCGCTGCATCAGAAAATATCATAATTCCAAATTGCATTTACTTCAACCTTGCACAAGTAGTTATTTCTGACTTAACTCGTGGCTGAATCCAATGGAAATACTGTTTGATATGAAAACAAATTTTCAGCATCTTGATTTGTGTTCTGTCATTAGCCTCTCATCAGGGAACTTGTCCAATGAGTTGACAAGCAGCCAAAGGTACACAGAATTGACCCCCAGTGTATGAAGTACTACATGTTTTGCCCATCATAAAAGTCCCATTTATCCAGAACAATAATCCTTTTCATATCATGTTCCATACAAAATTACAATACTGTTTTGGTGTTTAGATCAGTGAAAATGAGTATGGTTGATGAAGATTCAGTGAGGATACATTTTGGTCAAGGCCAGGGCATATTTAGGTAGGTTAAGATCTTTTAATACAAATCACATAATAAACATGGTTCTTTTGTATAAGACAGTTCAAAAACACCCAACACATTGAGTTCATCACTTTCTGGTTTGTCTACATGAAGTTTACCTGATGAAGGTCTGAGAAAAAAAACATATACATATTTTTCATCTGCCATGCCTAAACATAGCACAGGTACATAAGCAACCCAGCTGTATATGTCTGCAAACCACAGGATACGTTGGAGTCAAAGTTTCTGAATCAAAAATATGTTTCATAACACATTATATCAGACTCGGATCACGCTTGCTGAAACGTCCAATGCCACATGGTTAACATTGTGAAACGATTATGTAGGTTTAGGCAACAAAACAAATTGGTAAAGGTTTGAAAAAAGATTATGGTTTGTGTTTAAATAATAACGTTACAAAGTAACGTAACGACCATAACAACGTAACCAGCGTAAATAAATGACAACCATCCTAAGTGAACCTTCTTACATAATGTTATTAACAAGCGTTTTACATGGGACACGAACAGCGGCCTCGTCTGTGAAAGTCCTATGTTTGACTGATATCACCATCTCTCCACTCCACTCTTTTTGCACTTTCTCGCTTGTAATACTTGCTCTTATACCACGTTACCTTCAATAACAGTTGCTCAATGCGATGTGTGTCGCTCAACATAGCTGTGGTTTGCAGATTTGTACAATGTCGCAGAGAGAAGAGTTGTAGAATTACAGATAGAAAACTGACTTATGATTGTCAGTTGCACAGCAATATCAATAACATTGGTTAGTTATGGCTACCTTTACCTACTGGTCATATCAAACACTGTAGAAGCAAATAAGGTAAAATCCACTTGTTGACCATTCATTCATTACAGAAAGAGCAGGACATTGTGTTCAGGTGAGCACACAGGATGAGCTGCAGGCCTGTCAGTAGCTGTCAGCAGCAGGCAGCAGCTTATCGAGGTGTGGGGACGACTGGAGTGACAGCAGTGCTCGTCAACAGCAGACGCAGGAGCTGGAGGCGACAAGCCCAGCGCTCCGGCCAACGTGTGAGAGAGGGGAGAGGCCGGCATGACAAGCTCTTCCTCCCCTCTCCTCCCCTGGCCTCCCCCGCAGCAGTGACAAAGTTATCATGAGACAGGACGTCTCCACGGCTTGTCCTGGCATGCAGGGAAACGCCATCAGGGCCACTCGCACTGTATACACGGATTACAGTCATTGCCACTGGCAGAGGAAAAGTGCAGCTACACTGCTCTGAAAGGTGAGAAAAACAATGGACCAAACAAAGAGGTTTGACTGACATCTGGAGAACCCCAGACTCTTGCACCGGCTGAAGCTAAAGCATTAATACTCAATACGTTGGCTACAACTATTTGCACATATTTCATGGAGAGACGGGGAAAAAAACCCACAGAGGAGACATCTGGAAATTATAGCCTATCAGGTTTTTCCAATGGAAACAGTAATTCCCTCTAAATTTAGTTCCGTTTCTCAATTTTTGTGAGAATTGTTGCAACATATAAAAAGGAAAATCAAAGACTTTGCCGAAACCCGAAGCTGATTGTCTCATAACCTAATTTCTGTAATTATCATGTGAAAGGAAATATGAAAATTGCACAACATTGAAAAGCGATAAGAGCTTTTGAAATACCTATTAGGCAAAACTGACAAGCAGGCGAGGCTTGGGCATACGCATGTCAGCAGAACACAGGTGCACCATATAAACTCTAATTCGCTCCTCTCTGCTGCCTCTCATTACAAAATCATAATTTACAGCCAATCTTTCATGTTAAAGCCTCTAGCAGCAGACTATATTAAAGGTTTCAAAACAAATCATTTCACAGAGAGCAGAAATATCCCCATGCGATATCTTTGCCATTCTAAAATACTGCCAATACAATTTGAAGTCTTGAATACATCTTTTCCCCTCTAATTTCACAATTTTGAATCCTCTCATTCATCTCAGCAGATGGACACACTTCTTTATTCAGTGATGTGCCACATTCACTTTCACTCAGATGTACTAAATAAATGTTATCTTCCAGCACTGCTCATCTGTAGCAATGCAAATAATATCACAGATGCTTGGCTGCTGTTTTACCTTTTGGTGCTGTGATTCCTAGTTTGCCTGCAAAGATGACAGCTCAGTGTGTATAGTTCCTTCCTGGTGGTATCTACCTCTAAAACACACAGTATCACCCACTGCATCCAAAGTCTTCATTAAACTGATTAATGAGGCAGGCTTTGAAAATACATCAAAGAATGGGCCTGTCAGGTCTCCAGCTCTCTGTCACTCAATTACATTTTCATTGATTAGGAACAATCTGTTCTCGCCAACAAGATGAGGAGCACAACCTATTCATCAAGCACATTGCCTCA